GTTTCACATCAATGTGAATATACCTAACACTACTTTACTGTATACCTAAAACAATTAAGATGGTATATTTTGTGGTTTTTTTTAACCATGATTTAAAAAATTGATTTCTCCCCACAAGGATACATGCTATACTAATCACAGATTTAGAGCTAGATTCTATGACTATGCCCTTTCCTATTTAAATGTTAATATGTAACTTACATTTACATAACTTTCTGTCATATACATAAAACACTGACATTTAGGAGTCAACTGCTATCCCCAAGACATTTTAAATACCAATAAAAGTAAATTATATTGTTCATTAATCTTAAACACCAGTAGACATATGTAAATGATTCTTTTTTTGGTACTGGAGATTGAACCTAGGGAGCTTAACCCCTGAGCCACACTGCCAGCCCTTTAAAAAAAAAAAAATTGAGACAAGGTTTGCTAAAATGCTTAGGATCTTGCCAAATTGCTGAGGCTGGCTTTGAACTTGCGATCCTTCTACCTCAGCTTCCAGAGCCGCTGGAATTACAGGTCTGCAGCACACCAGGCAACATATGTAAATGATTCTTGACTAATCAAATTATTCAAAATATGACTTTTCAAGTTCCCTTTGCTATTCCTTTTTTATCTTATTTCATTTTTTTTCCAAACATTTCTCTAATCACTAGGGCTTCAATTCACAAAATAAGAGTAATGGGCCAGACACAGTGGCACATGCCTGTAATCCCAGTAGTTCAGGAGGCTGAGGCAGGAAGATCACGAGTTCAAAGCAAGCCTCAGCAAAAGTGAGGCACTAAGCAACTCAGTGAGACCCTGTCTCTAAATAAAATACAAAATAGGGCTGGGGATGTAGCTCTGGTTGAGTGCTCCTGAGTTTGATCCCTGGTGTACACACACACACACACACACACACAAAGAGAGATGGGAAAAAATTCCAATTGTCCACCAAAAGGAGTTGCCAGATTTGGCCAAAATCTGAACTGAAGGTATTTATGTTTTCTCCCTTTCTCTCAACATGAGAAGTCCTGCCACAGTTCTTCCCTTTTATTTATAAGATAAATCTAGTCATGGTCCCAGCATGCTGCTAACGAGGGCAGGCATATAAGTACTGGGAAGGCAAATAAAATAATTTGCTTCAATTCTAATCACTTTAGGTTTATAACTTCACAAACACAATGAGGGAGCAATAAGCCCATAAGAGCATAAATCAAATGAGGGGGAAAATATATGAGATTTATATATATATATATTTTTTAACAAGACAATTTTAACAATTATGAGCACCAAAAGAATGGCTCTACTTTAGTCACTTGTTTTATTAAGGGAAAAATTACTCCTATTCCCTAATTAATAGAATTTTAACTAAAAAGCTATACATCTGGATTCAATTCAGATAATATATAGAGAGTAGACTTTTCTTATTTATGGGCCCACAAAGAGAAAGAAGAGAAGGTCTTAGGTATTGTTAAGAATCAGAACTTCCAAAAGCTGGTTTTTCAGTCTAAGAGTAATGACTTCAGATTTGCTCTAATAATTTTTTTGCTTCAGTCTCTTCCACTTAAATAATTGGTTTACAGATTTTGAGATGTACATCTTTCTATTATAAATCAAATCACATTTTTATTATTGTACTAACAAAGCCAATACTATACTCAAATCACATTTTTATTTCTGTGTTAACAAAGTCCAGTACTCTTGGGCTGTAAAAGAAAGACAATGGGATGATTAACAGCAGCAGCTGTTAAGTCCAGAAAATTGCACGCATACCATAATTTAGTTTTAAAAATTTATAAGCCTCATTTTTCAATTCTTTAATTCCTATCACTTTGCCTCCAAAATGTAACTAAACACAATATGAAGATTCACTTGTATCAATAGGAAACTACTCCAATCACTAAGTGCCTACTTTGATGGCTTTTAGTTAATCAAATCAATCTTATTAGGTTCTTTTTTGTTGTTGTTTTTTGGTACCAGAGATTATACCCAGGTGTGATTCACCACTGAGCCATATCCCCAGCTCTTTTTATTTTTTGAGACAGGGACTCCTAAGTTGCTTAGGGTCTTGCTAAATTGGTGAGGCTGGCTTTGAACTTTCAGTTCTCCTGCCTCAGCCTCCTGAGCCCCTGGGATTATAGGCCTAAATTTTGATTTTTGATAACTGTATTACCTATTTTTAGGGTTAATTAACTTTTCTAATCCATGATTACATTCTATGGATTTTTTTTCTTAGAATAATTTTAGTTTACTAAATGCTCATCAACAAATACAGCTCAAGCCCTCAAAATATTAAGTACTTTTAAAAATATTTATATTTGAAAGGAACTGTTCTAGATGTTTCACAGATATTCTAATTTAATCCTCAAAACAACAGAAGTAAATATAGCCATCCTGGGCTGGGGAGGTAGTTCAGTGCTGGAGTGCTTGCCCAGCATGTGCAAGGCCCCAGGTTCAATCCACAGTACTGCACTGCTCCAGCACACACACCCCCACACACAAAAAAAGCAGTCCCTCCTTCCATATATGATGGGGATTAGACTGGTTCCAGTAACCCACCTAGCGCAGCTCTGGTCCACCCCATTATCTGGGATGCTCAAGTTTATTATATAAAATGGCACAATATTTGAATAACCTACAGAGCTCCCTTAAACCTAAAATCATCTTAATTACTTATAGTACCTAATACAATGCAAATAGTTTTTAATATTGAATTGTTTAGGGAATATAGATAAGAAAGTCTATACATGTTCATTACAGAGCAACCTTCCCCACCCGCAATCTGTGGTTGGTTGAATTCACAGATGTCAAAGTCAAGATAGGAAGCCCAACTGTACTATTAGTATTCATAATTTGTGGGTGAGAAAATTTCATACAGAGTATCTTATCTAAAGTTAAGCAAGTAGTACAGTCTAGATTTAAGTCAGAATTCAAAGCCCACTCTAATTATTTTATCCTTCACTGTTATTCCTTAAAATACAGAAGTGCTACAATCCTTTGCAATCCTCTATATTCTCTGGCTCACAACTAAAAGTATTTATTGAAGTGTAATTTGTATTTGATGGCTGTTTAACAAAACAGTTTAACTAGTGAGGAATCTTGTGGTCCTGGCTTCCTGAAAATTAGTATCAAGAAAGACAGCTCAAAGAAAGACAGCTTACAAGGGGTATTTCAGTTTCCTTAGCAACTCAGTTTTTCTGTATCAAATCTAAATAAAAATGACTATGATTTCTGTGGCAGAACAAGGTCATTATAATCCCCTCTTCCTCCCATTAGCTGGAAAGTAGGCAAGGGATTTTACAATCTTAGGAGACAGGTATCATGTGAGATCAATTAAATTATGGCTCCTGAACTTCTTTAGAGAATTCTGGAAAATAATTTCTCACCCTTCCAGCCTCGCCTTTGGAAAATAAATCAACATTTGTCCAGGAACCAATCGTTTTCAGTGCCGGAGTATCTATTTTCAAATACTTGGTCTGAATATCTATCATCCTAGAGTTACCAACAGTAGCTGTTCTCCATGATTTATGAGAGATTAACTATACAAAGATTTGTTTAAAATTTGAACAAAGATAACAACAAGAATTATTTTCTGGAATAACAGACTTCATTAGAAAGTTTATATTAGCATCAGCAAGCACTGTAGGAGCACCATTATGGACTTAATTCCTGAATACTATAAAGGGAAAATTCTAATGATTGTCACAGAAAAGTTTCAAAAAAACAAATCTTTTTTTTTTTTCTGACATAAATGAGGTGAGTCTCAAACTTTTACAGACACATACTACATTAAAAATTTTTAAAGCAACTTAGGAGTTCCTGTCTCAAAAAATAAATAGGGCTAGTGATATGGCTCAGTGGTGAAGCACACCTGGGTTCAATCTCTGGTGCCAAAAACAACAACAAAAAGAACCTAATAAGATTGATTTGATTAGCTAAAAGCCATCAAAGTAGGCACTTAGTGACTGGAGTAGTTTCCTAATGATACAAGTGAATCTTCATATTGTGTTTAGTTACATTTTGGAGGCAAAGTGATGGGAATTAAAGAATCGAAAAATTGAGGCTTATAAATTTTTAAAACTAAATTATGGTATGCGTGCAATTTTCTGGACTTTAAATTTAGTCAATTAGTTTCTGAGTAGCTACTATGAAGAGAAGCCTAATCCAATATTCAAAAGATAAATTCACAGACTCAGCACTGAACTTTACAACCTGGAACTAACTGTATAAGAGCTATGAGTCAGTATTCTCATAAAATAGCCCTAAACATCTCAACTAGTTCCATAACTGTTTATTGAGTATCATGTTCCCCATATAAAGGTTAGTTTTTCCTGTATATTATTAGAAATCTGTATATTTACTATGGGAAATGTCATTTCCTCCTCCCATTTACAGATTTGCTCCCAATTAGGTACTTGCCACTTTAATGCTTTCTCTTAATAGCATGTTTTCTGGTTTATGTGGTAATTTATCTGGCAGGGCCTTATCTGAACAACGAGCTTTGGCCCTATTCTCCTGAAGAGAGGAGTCAACCTAACTTTTATAAACTTAGTTACCAAATAACTAAGTTATTTTGGTAATAACTGGTAAGTGCAGATCTAAGGAGGATTTGTGGGCGGGTCACTAGTCCAGGCTATTCCAGATAACGTTCTTCAACCTAGCAGCAGTATGGCAGAGGAAAGGTCTGACCCCAGCCCCTTATTCTGACCTATTGAGTCAGCATGGCCAGAGCACAACCAGAAAACAGCCCCGTGGATCTTTGGGGCGATCACACTGCAAGGCCAAAGAACGGTCTCGGCGGCTCTTGGCTTTTAAGGACCTCGGCGGCGAAACCACAACAACCCCTCATTCCTCAACCTACCGTTTGGCTTTCACTCAGGGCCCCCCATCCCCGACTGCAGACTCCGAGGCGATGTCTCACCAGGCCCACTCTCCCTAGTTCCCTGGACCCTCTCCTGGCATCTCTTCTATCTTGGGGCGCCCTGTCGCCTGCTGCCCCAAAGGGTGGAACTCACCGCTGCCGCAGCGCCAGTGAAAATGTCCTCCCCCTCTGTGTCGCTGTCCCCACCTTCGGGTTCTGACCCCCCGGCTGTCCCCTCAGACTCCGCATCCAAGCCGGGGAACGGCGGTGGGAGTCTCTCCGAAGCGCTACAGCCGCCACCTCCCGACGCCATCTTCCTCCACCCGCGGCGGAAGCCACAACAACAACTTTATAGAGAGATCGCCGTGAGCAAAGCGTTCTATCGGTGCGAAGACAGCAAGGGCCGCGACAGACCCTGCGGGACTGGAGAGGCGGGACCCGGGCTCCGGGGGCGGGAGGGGCGGGGCCGCGGCTGCTGCCCAGCGAATCAGGGCTCCGTACCGCGACGCTGCGCTCTTAACAGGGTGGGCCAAGTGGGCAAAGAAGGCGGGGCTAGGGGGCTGCAGGTTCCTAAGGCCCTTTGTGCTGTGCGTAACTTTATCTAATAGCTTTCTGAAAATTCGTTTGAATAAAGGAGTCTAAAAATAATATTTGGAATGGACTATCCATTCCAAGCACAGTACCCTCACAGAGATTCAATTAAAAAAAGTTTTGTTTTGTTTTTTTAATTGAGGTCTCTGAACAGAGTACAGGAAAGTTTTATCACTCTTTGGACATTCAGTTAATTTGTTCTATATGTACTGAGCATGTACTGTGAGCCTGGCACCTTGCTGTGTTTTTGAAATACTGAAATAAGCTCTTGGACCATTGGGTGCTTACAATTTAATGAGGGAGGCAGCCATGTAAGTCAACAATTCCATATGTTCATGCTGTACTGTATGCTGGGGGAAAAGTAACAGAAAGTTTTATCTGCTTGGAGAAGTCAAGAGGCCTCACATACGGTGTGACACATCATACTACTAAGTATGGTTGGAAGGTTAGAATTATCCTTTTATTTGATGTGGAGTAAGGGGGTGGAATAAATGACAGGGAAATTGTTAAACTCTGAATAAAGTGTTCCTGGGACCCAAATTATTCCCTGATTGGTCATCCAGTCTAAATCAACTAGACAAACAAGACCGGAATTTAAAGATATGGGACATGTTGTCATATGTTGCTGCTGCAAGATACTCCTAACTTTATTTTCAATAGAGATGAAACTTTCACCAACATTGACAAAAAGTTTTGTTTCTAACTGCAGATTCCTCAACATCGGGTTCACTCCTTCACAGGTGTGTGAGCTGTTCAAGGGCAGGGGGCCATATCTTTGTAAAGACGTGGTGCCTACATATCTCATATGACAAATTAAGTACCTAATAAATATTTGAGCTTTGGATGACGGGATGAATGGATAAAACAACATCGTCAACCTTGTAACTGATACCCGTCACAGTTATAAACACCAGAGGACTTAAGATTTTCTTTTTAGGGTGGCGACTTCCATTATGTCACTGTTGGGCACATTAAACAAAGTTCTCTCCTTGCAAGTCGTCTTTGAAGGCTATTGGCAAAAACATTATCCGTGGCGGAGAGTTGTGCTGAATTGAGTCCACAGGAACGAGAAAACCTAAAGGTTGCCCCCTTCCCACCGCCATGCTTAACTTTCCTTACTGGACTCCCAAGACGTCCCACTTCGCCGCAACGGAAACCCACTTCCGGCCTGATCAGGAAGTAAGAAAGAGTTTGGCTGGAAGCAGCTCCCTTAAAGAAATAGCTGTAAAGAGTCTCCGTGTTAGAAACTTCTTAACTGTAACTTTAAAGCGTGTATTATGTTAAAACAAGTTCTCCTGTTCCCTACCTCTTCAACATTCATCTTTAGTTTATCCCGGGTGCTGAGTGAGGCACTCAGTGACTGGTAGCAGACCGTTACATTCCACCCCCACCACGAACTACAAATCCCAGAACACAGTTCGCTGTCTTCCAAAGAAAACGTCCCCTACATCCCAGCATGCAATACTCCTCAAGGGTCGCGAGGAAGTTTTCTTGTCCCGCCGAAACCGAGCAAAGCATGCAGGGGCATGTAGTTCTTGCGTTTCCCTTCCCTAGGTCCTTCGCGCTTGTCTGTCCGGTCCCTCCTATTTTCTGCTCCCCTAAACCTTTGCACTTGTCTTGACCATTTGAAGATCAGGAAGTTGATAAATCCTGAGGCCTGCTGCAGAGAGACGGTGGCTCAGATAGGACAGTCGCCAGGAATGGCGGAGCGTCAGAATGGAGTGGGTGTTGGGGCTGCTTTCTTGGACGCTGAGCAGAGCCCGGTGGCCCTTAGGCCTCTCTGAGCAGGGAACTGCCCGGTGGCCCTTTGGCCTCTCTGAGCAGGGAGCTGCTCGGCGGCCCCGGATCATGGAAGAGAAAGCGCTAGAGGTTTATGGTAATTAATTTTACCCAGTGCAGCTTTTGGCGTTGTATGTGGAATTGGTGGGGGAGGCGAAGGGAACGAGGGCCTCACCTGAGGGCTGGGAGTGGACACCTGTTTTTTTGCCGGCTGTAGTGGGTGGGAAGCATGGGAAGCGTTTTCTTCGGGATCCTAAATCACACAGAATGGAAGTCCTTCTAGCAGCGGGCTCTTCCTAAACTTGGGGCAAGCTGAGTCTGGTAGTCTTAACCGGCTTTATTTCTCTTCTTTGCCATCCATGCCCTAGTGCCTAGTGTGGATTGAAATTACAAGAACTGTGGGCAGAGCAGAGGTCAAGGGTGCTCAGTTAGGAAGCAGAGCTGTCTTGATTACACCCCTTGAGTTTTCTTCCTTCCCTAGCTCCTGGACTCGCACTCTCACCACTTCTGTGGGCACTGCTATGATTGGGGACTGGCCCAAGGTCACAGCCACTCTTTTATATGACAGATTCAATACCCATAGGTCCCAGAAGATGACAAGATAGGCTTCTTATAGCAAGGCCTGGAATTTATAGTTCATTAACACAGTCAAACTGTGTTATATATGTATGCATACATATATACACACATATATGTGTTCTCCACTGTATATATTTAATAGTCCCCTCTTGGGACTGTCTTCAATATACAGATAAAGAAACAAAGGCTTAGAATGGTTAAACAACTACTTGGAGGTCACACTGTCAGTAAGGAACTAAGCAAAAATTAAAGCCCATGTCTTCTTATTCCAAAGGTGCACTTTTGCACTTTTCACTTCACAATTGCTATTCCCCCTCCCCCTCTCTCCCTCCCTCTCTATCCCCTCTCCCTCTCTCTCCTTATGTAGTATTATTTTTGAAAACCAAAAAAAACTCCATATAAGAAGAGATCTAACTATAACAATACAAATGTAACTGGGGCAAGGATATAAGCCAGTAGAAGAAAGTGAGGGATGGGAAAGACCTTTGGAGTTAGTCTGGTTTACTTTCCTCTTGGTAGAGGCTGGAATACTTAACCCCAGCCAAATGGTAATTATGGGTGTACTGATCTCCACAAAGCAGAAGAACACATTCCTGTCCTGCCAAACCTTTATCTATAGCTTTTAGGAACTGCAGGGCCCTGGAGACACAACTTTGGAAGACAGATGATTCTAGTCCTGAAACTTACATTGAGAGAAACCTATATATGCAAAAATATAGTATATAGTAGAAGGCATGGACTTCAAAAAGAGATATAGAAGTTCATGGGAAGATGAGAGTCTCTGAGGGAATCTGAGAAGAATTTAAAGAGAAGGAGCCACTTGAGTTGAGCAAGAATAGTTGGGACCTGAATATGTAGTGGGTCAAGAGGGCATTCTAAACCCAGGAGACTGGAGCAAAAGTATGGAGATTGGAAGATAACATAGCTAGGAAAAAGGAGATAGATGGAGCTAAAGGGCAGGTTTTGAGGTTACAGGTGGAGGTGTGGCTGAATGTTTTAGATAGGTTGGAATTGGATACTGAAGCTTTTAAATATAAATGAAGACTCAGTATCAGTGCAGAGCCGTGGGAAAATTTTAGTCAGAAGGAATGTGAGGAGAGCAACATTGATTTCTTTTAAAAGAAACCAATCCAAAACTTCTGAAACCACTAGAAAGCTAGAGAAGTTAAATAAGGAGTGAAATTTAACTTCAGGGTTTAGAGGCATATAAAGAACATAGTATAAGCCAGGCACAGTGGTACAAATCTGTAATCCCAGGTATTCAGGAGGGTGAGGCAGGTTTGGAAATCTGAGGCCAGCCTTAGCAACTTAGTGAGACTGCCTGAACATTAAAAACAAACAAACAACAACAACAACAAATTATGTAATTCAGGTGTAGAGCATCCCTGGGTTCAATCCCCAGTACATGTCTCTTCCCCCTCCCCCCGCAAATACCAAATAGTACAACTTGGGCAAATGAACCATACAGGGAGAAAGTCTGGGGAGGGTAAAAAAAAAAAAAAAAAAAACAAACACTTTCAAAAAACCCTATTTCTATAAATCCCATGATAACACAGCTCCTGTAAGAGAAGCTATATTGTCTTACCTGCCTGTATTTTAAAATTCCACTTCTCATTAAGAAGAAGCCCAGGAGATAGTTGGGGAGAAGGTAGAGTTTGATTGATTTTTCCCAGTTGTATTTCTGATTACAGGAGAGCTATAAATAATAGAACAAAGCCTGAGGCTTAAGATCATCAAGCCTATCCTACCTAAAATTCTACTTTTATGCTTTCTATATCATTGTTTCTTTTTTATCATTTTCTACATGTAGCCTCAGTGAGAAGGGAATCTTGTCCACTCCATGACCAACGCAGGCTCCCACATTTTGGGGGTGGGGGGTACCGGGTACAGGGGCACTTGACACATCCCTAGCCCTATTTTGCATTTTATTTAGAGACAGGATCTCACTGAGTTGCTTAGCACCTTGCTTTTGCTGAGGCTGGCTTTGAACTCGATATCCTCCTGCCTCAGCCTCCCGAGCCGCTGGGATTACAGGCCTGCACTACCACACCTGGCCAGGCTCCCACATTCTTAATCCCATTCCCTTCTGCTTAAATTTACCAGTATCCCCCTCCCCCTTTATATTTTCAAACCTCTCTTAATGTGTTTGAACCCAGGGGCACTTTACCACTGAACTATATCCTCAGCCCTTTTATTTATTTATTTATTTATTTATTTTTTGTAGTTGTAGATGGACAGCATGCCTTTATGGTATTATTTATTTTTATGTGGTGCTGAGGATTGAACCCAGTGCCTCACACATGTGAAGCAAGTGCTCTGTCACTGAGCTACAGCCCCAGCCTTTGTATTTTTAATATTTGAGACAGGGACTCACTAAGCTGTTTAGGGCCTCACTAAGTTGCTGAGGCTGGCCTTGAACTTCTGATCTTCCTGCATCAGCCTCCTGAGTTGCTGAGATTACAGGCATGTGCCACCACACCTTTTGAAACTGCTTTCTTATAGTTGACTTCCTCAGTGACAAATCAAAGATCTGTTTTAGCTCTTGTCAGCTTAATTCAGCATTTGATGTTTCTTCTAGCTTTTCTTTCTCATTCTAATCCTTAAATGTTCCCAAGGATCCCATCCCTAGATTTCTTTCCCTTTATACAAATGATTCTCAAACTGAGCTGCAGGTAAGATAACCTGAGAAATTTTTTAAACTCTCAGTTCTAAGAGTGTACCCTAACCAATTAAATCAGAATCCCTCAGACATTAGTTCTTGTTTCAAGGGCAAAGTTCTACTCAGTCTCTGTGAATCCCATGGGTTCAACAACCAGTCTAGTTTGGTATCCTTTTAAACCCTATGGCACAGTTCAACATTTGCTGGAAAATTCCATTGGCTTGCCCCTTACACACCTCAAAATCACTATGTGTGAATTGTCCCAGGCCCCACCCAAATTTCTTCCTTATTCTGTTTATTTTTATTCTAATGGTGCTCTTGGACCTAAAATCTGAGTCTATTTCCTTGTCTTCTTCATTCAAAGGGGTGACAAATGCTGTTGATTCTGTCTCTGAAATTACTTCTTCATCTGTCCCTTCCTCTGGTACCATCATGTGCTGATTTTAGGGCCAGCTTTTTCAGTTAATATCACTAGCTCTATTCTTTAGTTCTGAGTCTGGTAGCTGGTGGATGAATCACCAGCTGACAACAGTGCTATTCATGTCACTTCCTTGTTCCCAGTATCTTAAGGACTGCCTGATGCCTGTAGCCAGTTATAAAAGACCCTTGGTGGTCTAGCCCAACCCTTATATTCTAATCTTCACTTATGCTGGATTCTAAGTAAATGAAACTTGACATATTATCTATTTCTATAGGCTTGATTTCAAATTGCACTTCTATAAAGCCTAAAACAATATTCTTTCAACCCAGTAATTCCTCTTGAGCTCCCATAACACATTTCCCATTCTTATTATATTCTCTCTGCAATGTTGCTTCCAAGAAACTCAATGTGGTCTGCTAATGATCCAAGAAAGTAATTGTCTCAAAAGGAAACCAGTAGTAGAAATCTGTCAGAAGCCTAAAAATTGCTGTAATACTTGCTTAAAAAGAAGTCAGTGCTTAGAATTGGCAAAATCATTCCTATTTAGAATATTCATATCTTAATGTAATACCTTGTCTCTGATGATTTTTTAGATTTGATTCGAACTATCCGGGATCCAGAAAAGCCCAATACTTTAGAAGAACTGGAAGTGGTAACAGAGAGTTGCGTGAAGGTTCAGAAGATAAATGAAGAAGACTATCTGGTTATTATCAGGTTCACGCCAACAGTACCTCATTGCTCTTTGGCAACTCTTATTGGTAAGATTATATGTGTATATGTGTAAATTCTAAATTATTCATGTGACATTGACTCAAAATAACAATTTGTATCATGTATCACACTTTATGGTTTACAGAATATTTTCATTTATTCTTCTTCTGTCATTTTCACAATTAGCACTTGAGACAGTTAAAATACTATTATCTTCATTTTATAGATGAGGAATTGGAAACTCAGAGAGTTCAAATCACTTGCTCGGAATCCAATAGACAAGAAATGGTGAAGGTGAGACTTAACCCCAAGTCTCCTGACTCCAAATCTCTTTCTCTAGTTATCTCTCAGTATTTCTCTTAGGTATGCATGGTCACAGTTGACAGAGGGTGGATATAGGATAGATGTTCTAGTTGTGGACATTGGAATGGCTGCTGTCAGACTAGCCCTGGTGATGCCATCACCATCTTCTCTGTTCAGCTTCTCTGTTGCCTTCCACATAGTATGAACATGAAAGTGTTAGAAAGGTTTTGTTTTTGTTAGTTTGTTTTGGTGGTGTTTGACATTGAACCCTGGTCTTTCATATACTCTAGAAACACTCTTCCACTGAGCTATTTTCTGAACCCTCAGAAAGGTTTTTTGTTTTGGTTTTGTAGTTATTGGGGATTTAACTGGAGGTTGCTCTACCACTGAGCTATATCCCAAGACCTTTTGTTTTGAGACAGTCTTGCTATTGCTGAGGCTGGCCTTAAACTTGCAATCTTACTGCCTCAGCCTAGCTGGGACTACAGGTATGTAGCAGTGTGCCTGCTTCTGGAAGGGTATTTTTTGAAGCAGAGTATTTTTTTCACTTGAGGCTGCAGTGTCAATATTTTGGATTAATTAGCAGTGCTTTGAATATATGTGTTGTTATAAAGAATTTAAAGGTAATATAAAGGAATATTCCATTTGGTTTCTTTGAATTTATACTTATTATAAAGAATATAAAGGAAATTTATTTCAAACTAAATGTTCCTCAGTAGAGGATTGATTAAATAATTAATGATGATAAATATAAACAAAGGAATACTATGCAGTTATAAAAAAGAATGAAGAAACTCATTAATAATCAGTACTTACCCTTATGACATACTGTTAAGAAATAAAAATAAGCATAGTATTGCTACTGTTTACATAAAAAAGGGCAAAAATAGCCAAATAGCCATATGTGGTGATACAGGCCTGTAATCCCAGTGACTTGGAAGGCTCTGGCAGGAGAATTGCAAATTCAAGTCTAATCTGGACAACTTAACCAGACCCTGTCTCAAAATAAAAAATTAAAGGGCTGGGGATGTAGCTCAGTGGTAAAGCACCCTGAATTAAAGCCCCATTAGTACTATACATTCACCAAAAAAAGGAAAACAAAATTTATATTTGTATGTATAGAGAGCCTCCATAAAAAATGAATAGCTATGATGGGTATAAGTGTGTAATAGTGGTGGTGGGAACTGGACAGATGGGGGACAGGATGAGATAGAGACTTTATTGTATATTGTCTTATGTTTAAATTTTCTGAACCATGGGAATAGATCATCTGTTGAAAGCAAACAAGTTTGTAAAAATTGAAAAGGTGAGTGAGTAGTTTGTTATTGTTCGCACCATTGTGATTTAGTCCCTTTCTCACTAGTTGACTTAGATTTCTTTTATTAGTGGTTTCCAGCATATAAGCCATATCTTGAGGGACTAGAAGTCCTGTGTATACATAGGTGTTATTTCAGTTATTAAAATTTTAATGCTAGGGGCTAGTAGAGTGCTCGCCTAGCACAGGCGGGAACCTGGGTTCAATCCTCAGCACCACAAAAATATAAAGGCATTGTGTTGTGTCCACCTACACCTAAAAAATAAATAAATAAATAAATATTTTAAAAAATTTAATGCTAGGAAGAGTATTATTGAATGCATAGTTATTTTTTGTCAATAGAGAATTTCTGAACCAACAGATATTGGACATACTGCTACCATCTTGAGAAAGAGGGGGTATCTTAAAATACTTTGACAGATGAGAGTCTTTAAAATAGCATCCAAAATAGCAAATTCATTTTTTAAATATTTTTTTAGTTATTTATAGTTACTAGTTATTAGTTTTATAGTTATTAATTATTTTTTTTTAGTTTATTTATTTTTATGTGACACTGAGGATCGAATCCAGGGCCTTGCCATGCTAGACAAGTGATCTACTGCTGAGCCACAAACCCAGCCCCGCAAATTCATTTTTTTGAAGTAACATTTATTTGAATTATAAAGTGGTATGTTTATTGTCAATCATTGTGAAACTTCACAACAAAAGTATAAAGAAGAAAATAAAATCAGTTGTCATAAAAGAATATGTGCTTTGGGTTAAAATCCCAGCTCTGTCAGTTCTCCCATCTTGTAGCCTTGGGCAAGTTACTTAACTTTTCTTAGCTTCTTTCTTATCTGGGAAACAGGGATAGTAAAGATCTTTAGATTTGTAAGGGTTAAGAAATAATAGCATGAAATATATTATATATATATTTTTTTGGTGCCTTATGCATGCTAGGTAAGTGCTCCACCACTGAGCCACACACCCCCCTCAGAAAATGTTTTCATAGTATTAGTCTTTAATTACATAGTCATATAGGTTACATGATAATCATATCTATATAATTATTACAACTATTTGGATTGCTTCTAGCCTTTCACAATTATAAATAGTACTGTGATGAGCAACTGTATACATAAATATTTTTATAAATCTGATTATTATCTCAGGATAAATTTCTATAAGTGGAATTATTGGGTCAATTAGTCTAAATACATTTAAGCCTTTGGCTTATATCGTAAATCCTTATCAAAAAGCTTATACTCATGCTTGTCTTGCATGTGTGAGGCACTGGGTGTGATTCTCAGCACCACATAAAAATAAGTAGATAAATAAATAAATAAAACTCCACCCCAGGAATTAAAGAAATAATTCCATAGAAGAAAATATTATAATATATAAAATATTTATAATAAATTTAAAATAGTGAAATCTGGAAGAAACTGTAACATCTATTAATAGGGAAATGGCAGCAATGTAATGTGCTTTCATATTGCTATTGAACATAAATATAAGCAAGGAATCAAAGTATCTGTGTGAGAAATATAGGCTGGGCACCATGGTCCACCCCTATAATACCAGCTACTTGGAAAGCTGACGCAGGAGTATAATGAGACCTTCTTGAAATTACAAAAAAATAAATAAAGTACTGAGGATGTAATACAGTGGTAGAGTGCCTTTGGGTTCACTCCTAAAGTACCAAAAATAAATAAATAAATGAGAGAGAAAAGTATATGAGAAGATTTAAATGATAAGTTCAATTTGCATTGTGAGTTCAATTATAGAAAAATTTATTGGGCTGGGGATGTGGCTCAAGCGGTAGCACGCTCGCCTGGCATGCGTGCGGCCAGGGTTCGATCCTCAGCACCACATACAAAGATGTTGTGTCCGCCGAAAACTAAAAAGTAAATATTAAAATTCTCTCTCTCTCTCTCTCTCTCTCTCTCTCTCTCTCTCTCTCTTTAAAAAAAAAAGAAAAATTTATTTATGGAACAAATAGGCGTTCTATGTGAGGATGCTAAGATGACGTAATGGTTGATATTACAAATGTTTATATATACTGAGCAAAGTTTTTTGTCAGTTTTTTTGGCCCTTTTGATATGTGTTTCATTTAAGATTCTTGGCTTTTTAGAAGGCAATGTAGTAGGTATTCCAGTCAACACAGTTGGAAAACTCAGTGAAGAAAGTCCTATTTCTGTGTTGAGGGACATTTCTTATGAGCAGATAGTCCCAGTAGAAAGGTACCAGAGTGATAAAAGTTCTAGCTTAGATTGTCACCTACTCAAAAGTTACCGTGGTGAGTGATTACATAGACAAGAAGACTCAAAGAGGTCAAGTGAGTAGGCAGAAAACCAGCTGATGATCATTTATGTTGATATCTAGAAAGAATGACTGTAGGCAGCAGTGATCCTATCAGAAGGGCATAGGATTTGGAGTCTGAAGTTGTGGGTTCAACTTATATCTTTGCTACTTGTTAGCCATCAGATGTTGAACAAATTGCTGTAAAATGCAAATGATAGAACAGTAAAGCTAATGTTTATTGTACACTTGTGTGCTGGGTACTATTTTAAGCTTGTTGCTTAACAGTTTATTCCCAATAGCAGCTTGGGATACTAATATAATACCTGTTGGGATACTAATATAATACCTGTTTTACAGATGAAACAAGCTCAAGAGAGATTGAGTAACTTGCCCAGGGACACAGCTAATGTATAGTGGAGCCACTTTTCAACCCAGAGTATCTCAATTATGATGTAGTGCCTTTCTTTCTTGAGGATAATGATGCTCAAGGGAGTGCTTTGTGGGTACTCGGGTAGAAGCTCAGTGGTAAAGCACTTGCCTAGCATGTGCAAGGCGCTGGTTTCAATCCCTAGCACCTCAAAACAAAACAAAAAAATGTTTTGTGAATTGTAAAATAGTTATTAATTTATTTTATGGGTGAAGCATTACCCACAGCAATGAGATCACATATGGATGCTCATATGGTACACAAATAAATTAAGGAAACAATGTGGGGGCCAGGAGAATAGAACTCTCCTGCATATACTTTAAGGCAGATCCTCTAAAGGGAGACTCTGTTAAGGAAATGATATCTTTATTCTTTAGAGTCCTCTAATATTTATTAAGAACTACTGCTTGTTTGTTTTTTTGATGCCAGGGACCAACTGTAGGACCTCAGTATGCTAGGTAAGCACTCTACCGCTAAGATACACCCTCAGCCCCTAGAGTTACTGTATTTGAGGCTCTAAGCTGGGCACAGTCTGATTATATCTTATATAATCTTTTTCCCTATTCTGGAATCTTTCAAAAGATTCTGTTGGAAACTTAATGGTACTTATAATATAAAAAATAGGGAATAGGGTTGTGGCTGAGTGGGAGAGTGCTTGCCTCTCATGTGTGAGGCCCTGGGTTTGATTCTCAGCACCGTATATAAATAAACAAATAAAATAAAGGTATTGTGTCCATCAACAACTAAAAAATAAATTTAAAAAAATTAATTCATTCATTTCATAGCCTCCCAAAGATAGGTAGTTGGACAGTTGTACTTTGCTATGTTAGGATGGTTTGGGGTTTTATTATTAATATTTATTTTTAATAAGCCAAAATACTAATAAATTCTTTTATAGCATAAAAAGCCCTTATCATTAGTTGGGACAGGAAATAAACTGCTCCAAATAGAAGGCTGTAAAATTAAGGAAAGGAATCTATTTGACTCTTATTTTTTCGTGACTTATTATTGAAGCACTTTCTCTTCATAATAAGAGCAGTCTGATTTATCTTCTGTTGTCTAAGAGTATGGATTTAGTCAAAAATTGATTTGAGATTGATTATGTTATGTGCATCTATAAATATGGCATAGTAAATCCCACTATTATGTATAATTATAATGCACCAATAATAAATAAATATTCATTTTTTAACTTGGAGATGCAGGAGAAGTTGGACATTGGCACTGAGGATCTGTTCCAGGTCCAGTTTTAATTACTTTTCTTTCATTCTCTTTCTTATTTATTTATTTATGTCGTACTAGATTTGAACCCAAGAGTGCTCTATCACTGAGCTGTTATCACCAACCCTTTTATTTTTAAATTTTACCTTGAGACAGTGTCTTGCTAAGTTGCCCAGGCTGTCCTTGAACTTGCAATCCTCAACTAGAAAAAGAAATGAAATTGAGGCTTGGCTATGGTGACAAACTGAACTTCAGTGGAGCTTGTTTTAGGATAGTAATTATTTGTAGTTTGCAAGCATAAAGAATTCCCACTTCAAGGGCTGGGGATATAGCTCAGTTCATAGAGTGCTTGTCTTGCATGCACAAGGCCATGAGTTCAATCCCTAGCACCACAAAAAAAAAAAAAAAAAAAGAATTCCCACTTCAAGAAGTTTCATTTGGCCCTTTTTAAATGACTCTTACTTGGTTTTATAATTTTTTATTTATTCATTTTTTTAATGTGGCTGGGGATTGAATCCAAGGCTTCCAGTGTGCTAGGTAAGGGTTCTACCACTGAGCCATATCCCTAGCTCCTTTTACTTGTTTTTAAATTTTTGCATTGCCTAGCTTGTTGTGAACATTCAATAAAGTTTAGTGAATTAATTGACCTTTGCTAGAAGGCTAACTGATATAATAGAAAAGGCATGAATTTTATAGTGGTCCTGGGTTCCCTTCCCAATGTGACAGCTTGGGCAACTTACATTGAGACTGGTTTCATAATTTGTAGAATGGGGTTAGTAATGCCTAGTTTACTGGATTATCATGAGGAATATATAAAATTGTGTATTAATTTTCCTAGCATGGTGCCAAGCTAGGGCATCTTACTACCTTCTGTGCTGGATTTAGCAAAGCACTTTTTCAGCTCCTATATTATATGAGAACACATAACACAGCTATATGGTTTTTTTTAAAGAATCAAGAAGAGATGAAGAAATAATTAGAGGATTTCTTTTTCCTCTTCCACAGGGCTATGCTTAAGAGTAAAACTTCAGCGGTGTTTGCCATTTAAGCACAAGGTAAGAAAAATGTTTCATTCTTGTCTTGAACCCTGGGACTCACACATGCTAGACATGTGCTCCACAACTAAGCCACATCCGCAGCCCATGTTGTTGTATTTTATAACTGCTCTGTTCCAGATATAATTCATACATATTATATAATTCACATATTTAAAGTATACCATTCATTGGGTTTTAGTATATTCATAGAATTGTGCAGCCCTCACTCTAATCAATTTTAGTATGTTTTCATCACTCCCAAAAGAAACCCTATCCCCATTAGCAGTCATTTCCCTTTTATTCTGAACCCTCCTCCATCTCTGGGCAATCACCTATCTATATTCTGTCTCTATAAATTTGTCTATTTTACATACTTCATTTAAATGATATTATACAATGTAGCTTTTGTGTCTGACTTCTTTGTCTTGGCATGTTTTCAAGGTTCTTTCACGTTTTAGCGTGTATCAGTATTTCCTTGCCTTATAATATTCCATTGTATGAATATGCCACATCTTATTTACCTCTTCGTCATCTATTGGACATTTGCTTGTTTCTACGTTTGTCTGTTTTGTTTTTAATAAAAAATGCTACTCTGAACATTTGTGTACAAGTTTTTGTATGGGCATGTTTTTGTCTTTTCCACCTAGGAATACAATTGCTGGGTCAATAACTCTATGACCATACCATTTTACATTTTTACCAGTAGTTCCAATTTCTCTGCATTCTCACCAACATTTATTATTGTCATGTCTCTTTTTTTTTATGTGTGTGTATGGTGCTGGGTATTATTGAACCCCGGGCCTTGTGCATGTGAGGCAAGCACTCTACCAATTGAATTATATCCCCAGCCCTGCTCAGATTTTTTTTATGGCCTAAATGCATTTGTTTTCAGAGAATGTTCATAATAAGCTAAAAGAAATTATATTCAGCTGTTGTTGAAGGAAATATCCTGTAAATGTCAATTAAGTCCATTTGATTGATAGTATGAATTAACTCTGTAGTATCTGTGTTGATTTTTATGTCTGGATGACCTGTCAGTATATTGAAATCACCCAGTATTATTATATTGGGGCCTGAGACTTTATGTCAAATAGTGTTTATTTTATATAGTTACGTGTACCAGTGTTGGGGAATAAATATTTAATATCATTATATTTTTTTGTTGGATTATTCTGTTTTCTAATATATAGTGTCCTTCTTTGTCTCTAATTTTGGCTTGAAATTTACTTTGTTAGATATAAGAAGAGCTACTCCTGTTTGCTTTTGGGTTTCATTTGTATGTAATAACATTGCATCCTTCACTTTAAGCATGTGGATGTCTTTGCCTATGAGGTTTGTTTCTTGAAGGCAGTGTATAACTGGGTCTTGTTTCATCATTCAGTCTGAGTTGCACATAATTTTTAACCAAAGTAAATGAAAGTGGAGTTATCCTATACCCATGGTTTGCGGTCTAGATAACAATGTTATGCCACTAGGAAATTGTGTATGGTACTTTGTCTTTTAAGAGAGATTATATGAAATGATCTCTAAGGTTCCTTTAGCTATAATAGATTATGATTTTTTTTCATGAAAAGGATTTATCTCAGTAGTGAATAAGTAAGAATTAGTTCATATGTTTCAGTGTTCTGTGGAAAGCATGCTTTCTTTTCTTTTTTAATTTTTTAGTTGTAGATGAGCATAATACCTTTATCTTATTTATTTATTTATTTATTTATTTATTTATTTTTATGTGGCGCTGAGAATTGAACCCAGTGCCTCACACATGTCAAGCAAGTGCTAAGCCACAAGGCCAACCGCGAGAGCATGCATTCTTAACCACAAGATTTGCAGTGATTTTGTAGGCTGTCTCAAAAGCTCTAGGGCTTAGAGGCTAACTAATTTGTAGGGGTGCAGCAGGGCCAGGAGGAATAGCTTAACCAATATTATACTTGAGAAAAAGTGCAGCAAAATAATAGAGGATAAGAAAAGGAAGATGCTAAAATTGTATATATTGTGATCCCGTTTTTCTAAAACAAATAATGAAAAGAAACTTCCAACCGTGTGTGTGTGTGTGTGTGTGTGTGTGTGTGAGAGAGAGAGACAGAGAGAGAGAGAGAGAGACAGAGAGAGAGAGAGAGAGAGAAATGTGTATAAGTCTATATGAGTATAGAGAAAAATATCTAAGAAACTACATGAATACATGAAATTGTTAATGTGGCTTTCCCTGGGAGTGGTGCAGGAGGTGGTTTAGATATTTATTTGGAAAGAAGTAGAGTACAGGGGAAAGATATTCCTGAATAAAACAACACATATGAGATTTCATTTGTATAAAATTGTGTTTATGTGTATTCATTTAAAAAAAATCATGAAAATGCCCCCTGCAGGATCTCCTCAGTTGAACAAAATATTATTAATTTCAGTCTTTGTTTTAGAAAAGAATGTGAGTGATTTGAGCCTAAGTCTTTAATGTCTGAAACAGGATTTAGGCTTTCATCCCAAATTCCAGACATGTAGATTCTTGAGTCCACTGCACATTCTGCCTCACTCTGTCATCTTAGAATGTTCTAATGTTTTGTTTCTATTATTTTTTTCTTCCTAGTTGGAAATCTACATTTCTGAAGGAACTCACTCAACAGAAGAAGATAGTAAGTGAATCTGGAAATATTAAAAACAACAACTACAGATAGTATTTTAGATTGGATACTCGGTTATTCTACCAGCCAAATATCTACTGGATCACTTACAGTATACTGTCAGTTATTTGGTCCTTATTCACAGACTGTAAAATACAGGCATTTGAAAGTGGTGTTTTTTTCAACCAGGACTCTGGATGAACTGTAGTCTGTGGATATTAACTGGCTTGGGCCAGAGACTGAACATCTGTAAATGGTATCCAGCTCTAGGGACCTTGACTTTTGAGCTCAAGGACATAATTCTGTTCTTTGATGGCAGGTAGAGAGTTGTGTACTTCAAATTGGAGGTCTTGTGATAAAAGCATTAGGGAATTGGAGTAGGTGCTGTCTCTTTGAGTTACTGTGTTAGAATAAGAGTGGAGAATCTTTTTTATGTTTAGAATCTCTAGCCTACAATGAGAAATCAACAAATAACTGCTTAAAAATCACAGAGGTGGGGAGTGGGGTTGTGGCTCAGTGGTAGAGCGCTTGCCTAGCACGTGTGAGGTGCTGGGTTTGATCCTCAGCACCACATAAAAATAAATAAATAAAATAAAGATATTGTGTCCAATTACAACTAAAAAAAATTTTTTTTAAATCACAGAGGCAGGATTTGGGAAATGCAAAAGAGTTCCAATTGGTCTGTGTCTCAAATTTTTTTTATTTATTCTTTTTAGTTATACATGACTGCAGAATGTATCTTGGCATATTATACAAACATGGAGTATAACTTATTCTAATTAGGATCTCATTCTTGTGGTTGTACATGATGTGGAGTTTCACTGGTGGTATTCTGTATGTTAAATTAAAAACAGAATTCTGAGCCAGGTTCAGGGATACATGCCTATAATCCCAACTATTATATATGCCTATAATCCCAGAGGGTGAGGCATGAGTATTTCAAGTTTGAGGCCAGCCTGGGCAACTTAGCAAGACCCTGTTTCAAAATAAAATTTTAAAATGTGTAGGAATGCAGCTCAGTGGTGGAGCATTTATATAGCATGTACAAGGTCCTGGGTTCCATCCCCAGTACCACAAAGATATAAAAAATAAATAAATTAATTAAAAATGAATACATAAAAACAGAATTTTGTACAAATGATAGAGCACAATAATGAGAAATATATATATATATAATGTATGGCTATACTAAGCTTTCATCATTAAATTAATTGGAAAGGCAAAAGACATGAGAAGAAGAGATAGCAATATAGAAAGCAATAGTGGGGCTGGGGTTATGGCTCAGTGGTAGAGTGCTCACTAGCACATGCGAGGCCCTGGGTTTGATCCTCAGCACCACATATAAATAAAATAAAGGTATTGTGTCAACTACAATTAACATTTTTTTTAAAAAAAGATTGTTTTTAAAAAAAAGAGCAATAGTAAGGTAGGTAGGTAGGTAGAAAAAGACAGTGACTCCACAAGGCTGGGAGAGATTTATCAGAGGAAAAATAAAAGTACGAAGAAAAGAGATGCAGAGAGGAAAACCTCCTACTTTCACAGCAACAGTCTGTTAAGGAAACATTTTGAGTACTGTTATGAAAACTATAAGGTCATGTCCTATTTTCAAAATTCCGGACTTATAGATCATCATTCTCCTCATGGGCTGAGTTTATTCAAACCCTGTAAACTGAGGGCTTCTACCTCTAATTTAAAAAATAGTAAGCTGGAGATGTAGTTTAATGGTAGAGCACTTGCCTGGCATGCTCGAGAACGTGGATTTGATCTTGCCACCAAAAAAATAAATAGGTAAATAAACCATGTGCCGCGGTACGTGCCTATTGTCCCAGTTACTCAGTAGGATCACTTGAGCCCTGGAGTTTGAAGCCATCCTGAGCAAGACCCCATCTCAAAAAATTAAATAATAAAGTAATAAAGTAAACTTTAAAAGAGTTTAAGTACCCTTAATCCACTCACTTTATCCTTTTTTCCTCATTTTTTAATTGGTCCATTATAGTTGTGCATATTGGTGAAATCTGTTGTTACATATTTGTACATGCACACAATACAACAATATAATTTGGCCAATATCATTCCCCAGCATTTCCCCTTTCCCTCCTCTCCTTCCCTGGCTTTTTTTTTTTTTTTTTTTTTTGTACTGGGGATTGAACTCAGGGGTGCTCTACCACTGAGCTACATCCCCAGCCCTTCTTATTTTTTAAATTTTGAGATAGGGTCTCACTAAGTTGCTTAAGGCCTTGCCAAGTTGCTGAGCCTGGCCTCAAATTTGGGATTCTCCTGCCTCAGCCTCCCAAGTCTTTGTGATTACAGGTGTGCACCACCATGCTCAGCCTTGGGTTATCCTTTTGAAAGTCCTCTAAGCTATAGGACTTTGTGTGTGTGTGTTTGTGTGTGTGTGTGTGTGTATGTGTTGCTAGGGATTGAATCCATGGCCTTGTGAATGTGAGGTAAGCACTCTATCAACTGAACTATAGCCCCAGCCCTAAACTATAGAATTTTATAAGAATAATAGTATTGAGTTTTACGATTTTGGTTTTTCATTTTTAATTGTTTACCGAGTGCTTTCTATGTTTTCTATGCTTTCTATGTATCCACAAAGTTAAACTGTTGAGATATGTACCTGCGCATGTAGAGCCTACATTTTCATAGAAGAAATAGAATAAGTTGTATTTGTTGACACAAGAGTGTGTGTGTGTGCGTGCATGCTTGTGCGTATATGTGTGTGCGCATGCATGTATCAGTACTGGGGATTGAATCTAGGGTTTCACAAGTCTAGGCAAGCACAATACCATTGAGCTACTTCCCCAGCACTTTAAAAAAAATTTATTTTTGAGACAAGGTCTTGCTAAGTTTCCCAGGCTGATCTTAAATTTATGATCCTCCTGCCTTAGCCTCTTGAGTAGCTGCGGTTACAGGTATGTGTCACCATGCCTGACTGTGAGTGTGTTCTCTACATGAGAAAACCCAGAAAAATCAGTTCTCATTAGGAATATGGATATCTCTCTTTTGAACTCTTTTATTAAAATCACTATTAGTGGGGGCTGGGTTTGTGGCTCAGTGGTAGAGCGCTTGCCTAGCACGGGCAAGAACCTTGGTTCAATCCTCAGCACCACATAAAAATAAATAAATAATTAAAGATAAATATATAAAAAAGATCACTATTAGTAAATTGTAGACATCAAAATGAGCCAATACCTTTATTATGTGAAGATCCATGCAAGCTGATTAAAAAAAAAGACCCAGTAGATTAATAGAAAGAAATATTATCAGAAAATTCACACAAGAAGAACTCATCAATAAACATGGAAAATATTCTATCACTCTTAATCAAGGAAATGCAAATTACAGTGATAATATGGAGCTCTTTTACTTCTTGTTTTGTATGTGCATTTAGGTGTATTTGTTTTTATTACTAAACCAGCTATTGGCAAAATTATAGCTAATGTATTGTTTTTGAAAATGTAAATAGGTAAATAATTTGGGAAAAAATTCAGTAATATAAATCAAACCATAACAATACTTATACCCTTTGTTCTCACAATCACATTTTAATTTTTTTGTAAAAAGAAGAAAAAAGAAAAGGCAATAATTTTAAGTTTTTTAAAAGATCTTAATTGGATTTATATTTTATTCTAGATCAGGCAACATGCAGAAAGCTTTATGCTTAAAGTTGTTTATTATATTTAAGTATCCTGTAGTTTAGAAAATAGGCTTAAGGGGAAAAAACAGCCATTTCCAAAATTGTGTTTACTCTAAATATAACTGTATAGAAATGGCCAACAATTGGAAATAAAGAAATTTAAAATAGTTGTAGTAGGGTTATGAGTAATATTTTTATTTTTAAGTCTGCCTTCTAGTCCTTGGAAATTGCACTTAAATAGTCAAAAACAGCTTTAAGTTCTCAAGGAGTTAAATTCTTTGTTTTAGTAGGCTAATAAAAATACTGTATGGTCCTCTGTATTGACATAGTTCTGCTAACTTTTGTTTGTGTGTTTTGCAGTCAACAAGCAGATAAATGACAAAGAGCGAGTGGCAGCTGCGATGGAGAACCCCAACTTACGGGAAATTGTGGAACAGTGTGTCCTTGAACCTGACTAATAGCTGTTGTAATTACTGAAATGTAATTATTTGATAGATTTGTTTAAACTCTTTGTAAACTGTAAAAGACTCATGTTTAATACATAAATGATTTGTACCTCAAAGCATTTTTAAAAGGATTATTTCCAAGCAAGTTATAGTTATAAAGTAGGACCTAATTTGTCAGTGAATAACATTCTCAGGATTTATAACACTTAAGTGATCAGACAGAAAAATATTTTCTAGTTATTATGGTGTAAGATGAGTTACTATTTTTCTGATGCCCATTCTGATACAACTACTTTTCATGTCAAGTCTCTATTGTGCCCAAATGTGTTTGATTTAAATCATTACTGTAAAATAAATAAAACAGATGATTCTTATAATGTTTCACTTTAGAATTTTGTTGAATTGTAAATTCCACTATAAGTGTCAATTCCTCAAAGATACTTTCAAAACTTTATTTTGCTGATTATTTTGTAGTATCAGATCTAAAAACCAAAAGGAACCCTTAAGATTGGACCCTGTGGGCTGGGCTTGTAGCTCAGTGGTAGAGCGCTTGGCCCTGGGTTCGATCCTCAGCATCACATAAAAATAAATAAATAAAAATAAAGATATTGTGTTCAACTACAACTAAAAAATATATTAAAAAAAAAAAAAGATTGGACCCTGCTTTTCTTCAAGGAGAATCCTGGATACATTTAAATGGAAGGAACACGTGTGAAGGTCAGCTGACTTACACAATTTTGAAGATCAAGAAGTCCCCCAAAGGCCTAGAGATGTACCTTAAAGAGAGTGGGCTTACCTAGAGTTCAGAAGGTCCTGGGTTTGATCCCTAGCACTGAAAAAAGAATCCCTCCAAGGGGAGCATGTAAAACATGTTTAGGATGCTTGAAACTCTGAATTTAATTCCTAGCACCACCAAAATAAATAAATAGATAGATAAACAAAATAAAATACAAATGTCTCCCAAAGAAGTTTTTATTAAATCAATCTAAATGTATGGTCTATTCTTTATTTATACTTTGTTCAGTTTACTTTAGGGGTTAATGGTCATTTGAAGTGTAGCAAGTTACAGTAGGCAGCCTTCAAGATAGACTCCAATGATCCTCACTTCATGGTGTTTGTGCCCTTGAATATAGTCTCTTCCATATTGAATCAGAGCTGACGGTTATGCCTAATGTGGAATGGCAGAGGTGACAGTGTGTAACTTCTAGTCTAGATCATAAAGGTGTTGCTACTTTTGCCTTTGTCTCTTGGATTGCTCATTCTGCCAGAATCTGGCTGCCATGTCATGAGAATATTGAAGCAACCCTATGGAAAATTCTACAAGGAAAGAAAGTGAGGATTCCCACCATGAACTAGCACCAACTTGCAAACCATGGGAGTGAACCATGTTGGAAGTAATCTCCAGCCTCAGTCAGGTTGACAGATTGGAAACTCATGAAAGAAACCCCTGGTAAGCCAAAACTGCTGGGATAAGCCACTCCCAAATTCCTGACCCAGAGAAGCTCTGAGAGATGATAAATACTTGTTATTTATACTTCTAAATTTTGGGGGCTCTTTGTTATGAAGCAATAAGTAACTAATGTAGAAGGTATACCTGTGCTGAGTGCCAATTCTCATTATGGCAGAAGTGGAAGGGAAGTGACATTTCTAACTACCTGTCTATAAATGAGAGACCCAGAAAATTGGTGCCCCAATCCAGCCTAAGAAAGAAAGTTGAGCTGTGCTGAAGGCTGGGATATGACTCCTACCTCAGAAACCTAGAGAGCAAGAGAAGGCAAACATAATTATTTTGAATGCAGAGTCATAATGTATTTCATGGACCCTGCTGTGGAGTCATTTCTGACATAGTCCAGTAGCCGTCATCAGGGCCAAAGAGACCTCAGCAGATAACATCTGGACATGTAACTTCCTGGTGCCTTGGGACTGAGTGAAGATAAAAGCCAGGGTGGAAATGGATCTGCCAAGATCAAGAGGCTCAGTAGAAACCCCTGGTGAACCTGCCAAGAGAAAAAGCAGCTCTTATCACCAGGTAGGCCTGGAAAGCACAAAGCCAACTAGCTAAGTAGTAACTGTCCTATCTCTTTAGAATTCCCCTTGCTTCCAACTTTGAAGGCAGTGGTAGAATAACTACCAAGTCAAGAGTTAGGAGGACAGAAAAGGAACCGTCCATCTCTCCACTGTAGATCTGAGCCTGAAGCAAGCTCAAGTTGGCAGATTTATTGCCAAGTGTGTAGTTATGACTATTAGATGTGACCAGATACTTTAATGAAATGGATTGTATGATTTAAAAAAGTGACAGGAAGTGGTTGGGGTGTAACTTAGTGGTGGAACACTTGCTTAGGGTACAGTACCAAAAAGAAAAATGACAGTAAGACTTATCTGACAGAAATCCTGTTTCTTTTCAAATCTACACCCATGGGCAGAGGAAATCATGCCCTCTCAACAAAGCTTCAAACCATAGTGGTAGAGGTGGGGTGAAATTACAACTAATTTTTGTGCAACATACTGGTTATAGAAGTTCTGTTGAGGGGCTAGGGTTGTGGCTCAGTGGTAGAGCTCTTGCCTAGCACATGTGAGGCACCCAGCCCTCCCTTGCCTTCGGATGTGTCAGGGAAACCAGTCAAAGCAGGATCTCGCTTAATGAGAGAACACACACAGCTAATATAATGTACAGGAGCCAATCAGGATAAAGGTCAGCAGGGTGAGGAGAGTTTACGTGTACACCCATCCTACAGGCAGTAATGGGAGACACTAACTGTCCAAGAGGGCAGAAGGGTTCTAAGCCTATCCTAGAGGTGGTCCGATTTTTCATCACAACCCATGGCAACGCTTTCTGGTTGATCACCAGGCGCTATCTTAGCTACTACATGTGGCCCCAGGACCCGGAAGAGGGTAGCAGCCAGCAAGTTAGATTTTCCTCTTTTCTGATGCCACATGCCCCACATGTTACATCATGCCCTACATATAATATATAACATTTGTATATTTATAATATAGAATATTACATGACATAATATAATGGCATTAAATTATATATCATATAATATTCTATATTATATTATATTCTGATTCTCCACTGTCTGTGTTGGAGCTGACCATAAAGAAATTCTCTTATTTTGTCTGATGGTAGGTCATAAGACCCTTGTTTCTGAGGGGCCCTGTCCCATACCCAGGAAGAAGGAATGCTGCAAAGAGAAGCCAAGAAGAATCTGAACAGACAGGCCTCACTGGATTCCCCCCACTCAGTCTCTTAGCATTAGATCATATTCTTTTGTCAAATCACATTTTTATATGACTGACCACTCTTTTTAAAAATTATTTATTTATTTATTTTTGCATTATAATTCTTAATACACCATTATACCATAATTTATATAATCTCTGATTATATATAAGGTATGTTGACACCAAATTCACATCTTCATACATGTATTTTGTATAATGATGAGGGTCTCCTTTCACCATCCATGCTATTCCCCTTCTCCCTCCCTTTCCCTCCCATTCCTATTCCCTATCTAGAGGTAATCTTCCTCCCTTGCTCTCCCTCCCAACCCATTTTGAGTCACCCCCTTATATTAGAGAAAACATTCATCATTTGTTTTTTGGGGATTGGCTAACTTCACTTAGCATAATCTTCTCTATTGCCATCCATTTCCTTGCAAATGCCATGATCTTATTCTTTTTTATTGCTGAGTAATATTCCATTGTGTATAAATGTCACTTTTTTTTTATCCATTCATCCACTGAAGGACATCTAGGTTGGCTCCACAATTTAGCTATTGTGAATTGTGCTGCTTTAAACATTGATGTGGCTGTGTCCCTGTAATGTGCTGTTTTTGGGTCCTTTGGGTGTAGTCCGAGAAGAGGAATAGCTGGGTCAAATGGTGGTTCCATTCCCAGTTTCCCAAGGAATCTCCATACTGCTTTCCAAATTGGCTGCACCAATTTGCAGTCCCACCAGCAGTGTATGAGTGTACCTTTTCCCCCCCATCCTTGCCAGCGCTTGTTGTTGTTTGTCTTCATAATGGTTGCCACTCTTACTGGAGTGAGATGGTAGTTTTAATTTGCATTTCTCTGATTGCTAGAGATGATGAGCATTTTTTTGAGTATTTGTTGATTGAATGTATGTCCTCTTCTGAGAAATGTCTGTTCAGATCCTTGGCCTATTTATTGATTGGATTATTATTATTATTATTATTATTATTATTATTTATTTAATTTTTTTTTTTTTTGGTGCTTGTTGAGCTGTTTACATACCCCAGAGATTAGAGCTCTATCTGTTGTGTGAGGGGTAAAAATTTGTTCCCAGGATGTAGGCTCCCTATTCACCTCACATATTATTTCTTTTGCTGAGAAAAAACGTTTTAGTTTGAATCTATCCCATTTGTTGATTCTTGGTTTTAATTATTGTGCTATAGGCATCTTATTAAGGAAGTTGGGGCCTAGCCCCACATGATTGAGATTAGGGCCTACTTTTTCTTCTATTAGACATAGAGTCTCTGGTTTAATTCCTAGATTCTTGACCCATTTTGAGTTAACTTTTGTGCATGGTGAGAGATAGGGATTCAATTTCATCTTGTTGCATATGGATTTCCAGTTTTCCAAGTACCATTTGTTAAAGATGATATCCTTTCTCCAGTGCATGCTTTTTGGCACCTTTGTCTAATATAAGGTAGTTGTAATTTTGTGGGTTTATGACTGACCACTCTTCATTGAATCTAAGCATAACAATAGAACAGCAGGGTCCTTGGGTCTTTGGGCCTTCTTTTTGTTTGTTTGTTTTTTGTTTTGGTACCAGGGATTTGAATCCAGGGGTGCTTAACCACTGAGCCACATCCCCAACCTTTTTAATATTTTCTTTTGAGACAGGGTCTGGCTAGGTTGCTTAGGTCTTCCCTAAGTTGCTGAGGGTGGCTTTGAACTCATGATCCTCCTGCCTCAGCTTCCTGAGCCACTGGGATTATAGGTGTGTAACACTGCATCCCACCTGGGACTTCATTTTTGAAGGCTCCTATATTGCCCACAACCTGAGCTGTCGGGCGATGGATTCAGGGTCACTCCGTGTGAATTGGATTGGCAATGAAAAGACCACACAAACACAGAAATATCTTTTTGAGGGGTCAGGGATGGCTCTGAGCCCTCAGGTGTCAGCCCTCAGGTGTCAGCAAGGGGAACAAGGGAGGCAAGAGGCAAGAAAGCTAGCGCATCCCGAACCCCTGTTTTTATTTAGGGGAAAGACATTTGATAGAAAATTCCACCCAAATAAGGAAAGAGATTGTGTTACAGCAAACGGGGGTGTAGCCCAGTCCCACTGGGTGACGGTCACTCCCAGAGCTGTACTTCCTTGCCGATAGTAGGTGAGGCTCACCTGTGAGTGTGATGCCAGTTCTGCACCCCCATTACTCAAAGCTAAGGGAGCATGCTCAGCTCTTGTTCAGGGCGGCCCCTAACATGTGTCATGTAAATAAATTTGTTATGCTTTTCTCCTATTAACTAGATTTGTTGTGGGAGTGGTGGCTAGGACCCTTATGATGTTTGAGGAAAGATGTCACACCTTTTCCACGCCTACGCTTTTTGTTGGGATTGTTCCAAATACAGTAAGAGGGTTCGGATGACTAATGTCTACTACATTAATAAAATTTGAAAGTGAATTTGAACTGTATCAGTCGTCACATCCTCTACATACCAGTGAAAAAGAGAAGTACATTTATGTGCCTTATGTATTGTCTAGTCCATCTCTGGCAGAGGTTGGCAAACTTTTTTCAGAAAAGTGACAAATTGGCAATATTTTAGAGGGCTGCAGAAAAAGAGGAAGGGGGGAGGGAGAAAGAGAAAAAGAGAGAAAATAGTGTTGGTTTTGTTTTGTTTTGTTTTTGTTTTTTTGAGGGGAGTGGTATGGGCAATATTGGAGATTAAACCCACGGCCTCACACATGCTAGACTCTACCACTGAGCTACATTCCCAGCCCTTTTAATTTTGAGACCAGGTCTTACT